TGCTCAACTCTTCATCCTTTATCATTCCTTGCTTTGTAGCATTTGAAAGACAAGTTGTATCCAAAGTTAGGCCCCATAGGTCAATCACAATATATTTTTATTAAATTAATTACATTAAAGGGGTTTTTTTCCCCAGAGGTGCCATACACTAAATAATGTTTTTTTCCAGAGAAAGTGTTATTGGACCTGTTCAAAGGCCATGTGTGAAAGAAGAAATGAAGGCTTTGGAAGAAAATGATAATCAATTCAAACTTTTAATGTAATGTGTTGTACGTTATCTCTAGGGTTTGACTTTGAGTGCACTATGTATAACAGATTCAGTGTTGTTACCAATGCATAGAATGGTGTTTTTTTCTTCTTCTCTGGTATATTTAATTTAATAAATTTAATAAAATGAAGATAGTTGTTCCTTGAGTAATAAAATAAAAGAAGCATGCAAAGCTGTAAATCTGTAACACGTTGCATGTCTGTGTTTCTGCTTTTTTCGGAGACTGCATTCGTGTGCATCTTCCAGTTTTTGGAAGTCACCATGCATGGACAGAGTCCTGCTACACAATTTCTTCCCAATATTCCATTAGGTTGAAAAGAAAGGAAAAAACTTTCAAAGAGAAAGAAAAAAATCCATGATTTAATCTTTCTATATTCTGATCAAACTGAATTACAAAATTCTGGCACCTCTGAATTAGAAAAACCTCTCCTTTTTATAAAAGGGTTGACATATGTAAGAATGATAAAGCATTCCTATGAGAGCCAGCTGGGTGACCTTGGGCCAGTTACTCTGTCTCAGCCCAACTTACTTTACATGGTTGTTGTAAGAAAAATAAGGAAGAGGAGGGTACCTTGAACATGTTAGTCACTTTAAGTTATTTGTAAAAATAATAAAGGCAGGATAGAAATAAACAAGCCACAAGATATATAGATAGGAAATGAAGCAGTAACCCTGAGCTTTGCAGGGGTAGGCAACCTTGGCTCTTTTATGACTCGTGGACTTCAACTCCCAGAATTCCTGAGCCAGCATGGCTTAGCTTGGAAACCTCTCCCTTTCCCCTCAGCATGGCTGGCTCAGGAATTCTGGGAGTTGAAGTCCACGATTCATAAAAAAGCCAAGGTTGCCTACCCCTAATCAGGATTATATATGGTTACTAAGTATTCATTTTATTACCGTATTTTGCTTTTCCATATTGAAATGGAGCTGAGCCACAAGTAAAAGGACTTAGCTTCAAGACTGGAGAGACAAATTTCATAATATTTTAGTGGTGTTAATGGTGCTGTGATTTACACCAGCGTACAGTGTAAAATTGCAAATATTTTTGGTAACTTTTCCTTTCTTCCCCCTCCCCATTTTGAAGCATGAAATGACAATCTGGGCAGGGAGGAGTGGAGACTTAAAATGTCAATTATTTGTCCCTTTATCAATTCTAAAGAAATCCAGATTAATTCTAGGTGGGATGTTGGATTACCTATAAGAAGTACGGAATGGTACCACAAATTTATTTACAAGCCTTTGACTTGTAAAACTACAGTTAATCAATTAAACATACGGTGAGGTTGCTTCCAAGGGTAAATTTTGAGTGTCACGAAAGGACAAGAAGTATCAAGATTGTTTTGGAATGTATGTTAAAATCCAGCTTCTTTTACTGATTATCAGTATCTCCTACCAAATAGTGTACAGAGCTCCACCCTCTGGTTTTCTATTAATCCAAAGAATGTACTGCAAGGCAATCTGATTATATTATCCATTTATAAATGAATGTTAGAAAGAAAAAGTTTTCTACAATGAATTTTTTTTTATTGATTTACACTGCAATGATTAAAATAGTTTCTTGGGTCTATTCATTATGCAGTTGTTAACCTTAAAACCCTGTTGTGTTAGGATCCTTATGTGTAAAGGAATGTTTCTTTCCATCCTATTGAAATCTTTCTTCTTGCTTCTGCTCTAAATAACTGAGGTGGGAGATACTTGGATTGCTTTTAAGCAATAACTCTTTAGTTACAGAACAGTCTCCCCATAAAGATTCTCTTGGGACCTTCATTAACCTTTTGGCATCAGGCAAGTACCTTCTTTCATTCTTTTAGGATTTTAAAACTGTCCATTGTAGTTTTTGCTACAACATTTAGTTTTTGAGTTTTTCTTCTGTGTTTTTAAGAAGAGCTTGGCCCCTGCTGCTTTACGCTGATTGTTGTTTTCAATTAGTTGAACAAAATAGACCTGCATTAATGAACTCTTATTTAATATGGCTGCAGCAGAAAAATGGATACTTCATTTTTTTCCCCTTAGAATCTCTGCTAATAAAATCTATACTGCAATTGTACTGACTGATGTTCTATAGTTCTAAACCTCTACTTCATTTTATTACACTGTATATTAGAAAGAGAGAAAGAGAAAATGCAGAGAACAATGTCTTCTGTTTCTAGATTTGAGAGAACTGAAAAACTCTGTGTCTTATCTAATGAATATGAGATAGTTTTCATAGTATCTCTTGTGATTTACCGATCATGTTGTTTTAATGGTCTGCAGATGGATTAAAGTGGAAAAGTACTTTGAAATAGGTGAGGGTATGCTTGCTGCATCTGTTGGCATCTCCATGAAGAAACTTATGTGTTTTCTTGGGTTCACATGATCGCAGTGCAGTTCAAGGAAAATATGTATTTCAATTAAGGAAGTTCCAGCAGCTGTCATCTTCAAAATCATTTCTTATTGTAAACTATGTTTTTTTATGAATTCCATCATACCCTGCTAGCAGGCCCATCCACACATTCGCTGACTGACTCAAACAACTATGAGTGGGCTGGGAAGTTATTGTTGCTGACATTGAATCAATTGCAGTTATAAATCTCCCCTTTCTCTAGTGAGGTAGTCCAGTTCCAGTAAAAAAGGACTCTAAAACAAAGACTCTCCCAATTTATTGAATTTTAATTTCTAATAAGATAGAAGGGGAAAATTCTGTTTATTATATCTATCTATCTCTCTATCTATCCACCCACCCACCATCTATCTATCTATCTATCTATCTATCTATCTATCTATCTATCTATCTATCTATCTACCTATCTATCTATCTATCGATCTATCTATCTATCGATCTATTGATCTATCATCTCTCTCTCTCTCTCTCTCTCTCTCTCTCTCTCTCTCTCTCTCTCTCTCTATATATATATATATATATATATATATATATATATATATATATATATATATATCTATCATTAGTTGGAGTAATTTGCTAAATTTTCATTAGATTTAAATGTAAATGAAGTTAAATGAAAACACAACTGCTTGTTGTAAATATGGCCGGTATAATATTCATAGTCTAAGTCTTCCAGTCTGCTTCTGAAAAATCTGGGGAAGTTGGCAGAGCAGTTTGAGAGGCTCTAGAAGCTGCAAGGGGAAGAGAGGATTAAAAGAGTCTTTTAGATTAATGAAAATAATCTTGCATAATATTAGATGTTTCCTAAAAAGTCTCACTGTAGGAGATGTTGTTAGCCTGCTTTATTATAATTTTATCTTGTTAGTTTGGGCTATGATCGCTTAAGGAACTGACTGCGTCTGATTCTGCCTTTCTAATTATCAATTTTCTTTCAGTGAGTCATACTGGGTAGCTTGCTTTTCTCTGGACTGATCAAACCTTCCATATTATTTGGCCCCATCAGAGCTCTTTGTGTTAAGAAGAAAAGTTCTAGATTGTGCCCTACTCTGTTTCACTGACTTTGGGTCCCTTGCCAATTAAGAAGCCTTCAGCAGCATAAACACTGCCCAACCCAATTCAAGCTTGCCAGACCATATTGTTTTTGATTAAAACCACATATCTTCAACAACAAGAGTTGTTTCCAGTCAATGCCTCCATTCTACTTGTTCTCCTATCTCTGATGGCAATTTAAGACTCTGCCTTCTAAAGCCAACCCTTTTGCAATACTTCCTTTTCTTCCCAATGGGAATGCTTGCTATGAGAAATTAAATGAAACTGTATTCCCAGTTTCTCCTTATCAAACAGCTAGCACAAAGGTTTCTGCAACAGGTAGATGAACAGCCAATAGGAAGCTGTGGCTGAAAACAAGCTATTGTAGATCCTCTCCCTTTGGAAAAAGTGCTGGGGAAGAATCTACTTCCCCAGGCCTTTCATGGGTGTTATTAATATTTATGTTATAGAAAGTAATTTCTGGGTCAGTTCCATATTTGTGCTATGCAGTTTCCTTTTCTATATAAGATCGGCCAGAAGAATGGCTGACGGATGGCTCTGAGATGATGGCCAAGTGCTTTGTGGATTAAATCATTAGCATTCCCTCAAAGCTGGAAGTTTGCTGGACAAAGTCCAAAGAGAGGTTGAACATTATGATTTGTGACATTACAGCTGGCAAGAAGTTGAATCTGTTGATCTTGAAAAAAATAGCAAAAACCTTAATTATGATGAGCTCTCCACTTGTTAAGTTGGACTTCTGCTCTTCCTCATTTCTATCTGCAGCTTGAGTCTAGGACTGAGCCTTTGTGAGGGTTTTGTTGTGGAAGTGGAAAATGTCAATGTCCTAGAAGACCCATCTTCAACGGGCTGTCTTCAGACCCACTTTTATTAAAATAATTATCAAATAGTTTCTAACCTTTGATTTTCAGAGAAAGTTGTTACGAAAGTAGTGGAACCATAGCTATAAAGAATTCTGGGGAAAGCACATTATCTGGGCCCTTTTCATCCATGGATCAGGCCCAGGCAGTCAGGAAGAAGCAGTTTCTCATTGATGATCCACAGTATCAAACGGATAGAGGAAGCATGACCCTTGTTAGCTATGCTGGACCTGTCAGTTAACCATCAGTACCATTGAGAATAGCATCCTGGACCATCTATGAGGAGTGTGAGTTAGAGGCATCAATTTAAGGTGGTTTCATTGTTTCCTGAGCAGATCCTTTTAGTTGTTTTATGTGAGGTTGAGCCCTAGGTCACTCCAGCATTGGCTGTCACAATGTTAAACTCCACATAGCTGGCTAGTCAAAGAAGCAAGAACTTTGGAGATTTCAGAAAGGCATCTTTAATGCTCAGCTGGGATAAAATACAATATTGAAAACCATACAAGTAAATTCCCAGTCATATTTTTAGTGAGTTAATTAAGGTACTATGTCATTCAAATGCTTTCTTTTCACAGCTCTTACTTCTAGACTGTGTTGCTTCTCCATACCTAATCTGCATTCCTCTGCACATTCCCACAGGTTCTCACACACCCTCATGCTCAGCTTTCTCCCACATTTTCTTTAACAACCACATGAAACCACTTACATGTTATTTGACAGTTGGGCCCATTATCCTCACTATGCTGATGATGCTCAGCTCTGCATCTTTACCCTAGGCCATTTGGAAATTCTAATAGACGTTAAACAAGGTGTCTGGAAGCTGTAAGATGGGGAGAAATAGGTTGGTACTTAACCATGGCAAGATGGAGTAGCTATTGATTCAGAGGCTGACTGAGCATGAGACAATATCAATCTTAGCTTTTTGATGGACCTGCGCTCCCCAATAAATAACAGGTATATAATTAGGGGATTTTCCTGGACTCTCAGCTCCTGTTAGCCAATTTGATCTAATAGTTAAAGCATCAGACTAAAAACCAGGAGATTGTGAGTTCTAGTCCCACTTTAGCCATTAAAATCAGCTGGGCTAGTCACTAACTCTCAGCCCAATTCACCTCACAGGGTTGTTTTTTGTGGGGGGAAAGGGAAGGAGGAAGGTGTGTTGGACCTATTCACCATCTTGTCTTGTTTATAAAAAAAATAAGGCCGGATATAAAAAAATAAACAAACAATAAATACTAGAAAAGCAGTTGTGAGTATGTCAGGAGGGTATTTGCCTAGATTTGTGGTCATTTCTGGAACAGAATGTGCTGGCAATAGTCATTCAAATCCTTGCCAGTGGTTGGTTAGATGACTGCAATGCACTCTACAAGGGACTCTCCTTGAAGATCATCTAGAAACTGCAGAAACTGTAGAAACAGGAGCTATAAGATACAGACATAAAGCACCCGTGTTATGGAAATTGCATTGGCTGCCAGTTCCAAGTGCAATTAAAGCTGCCTGTTGCTACTTACATGCCTTTGGGTCTAATGAGGACGGCTAATGCCAAATTGAATCTGCCCACTGAATACATGATGGCAGAGAGTACTTGCTAAGGATCCGTATTTCATGTAAAAAGGGGCTCCAAGGGAAGCATTTTGTACAAAACCTCTTCTCCTATATCTCCCACCAGATATAATAATGTTGGCATCCTTATCCCTAATATTTAGAAACCTGCTGAAAATTTGATTGTTCCAGAGAGCATTTGGGTGATAGGGCGAGGAGTTGGTCCACTGATGAGTGTTATAATAGTATGGACTATTATATGGATTATAATTGGACTCTTAGCATTGGCCTGGCTGAAGCTCATAACACTTTCTTGTTCCTTCTACATCTAGAGTTTGATGGTGTGTTTTAATGCAAAAAAGTGCTCTTTTGATCTATCATCTTATTAATTTGGTTCTTCCTAGATAGTCTTACGAGTTCTTACAAATACAATCCAGTATTTCTCCTCCCTAGAAATTTTATCTGACCAAGACAACAAGATAGTTATGTAACTTACTGCTTTTCCCGTACCACTTGTTTTTCTTCTGGTATTTTTCATTTTTTTTTCATTTTTAATATTCTGTAAGGCAAGAAGAAACAAGAATACAATATAATAGTTCAGAACAATATATCTCAACATTCAGTCATAATTTCCACATAACGTTAAATTTATTAAAATCAGAATTATTCTTAGCATAACTTATATAATCTTTCCAGATCTGATAAAAAAATGTGATCCTCTCTCCGAGAAGTCAGTATTTGAGTTTTGTCATTGTTATTATTTTTTCCGTTGAAGCAATTGGCCTAACCTTCCTATATTAGTCTTAAAATCTGTTATCTGTAAATGAGCCTTTATTATGTTAGTTTTTGGCACAGGTGCAACTGCCCTGATGCCTGGAGTTCCACCCTGTGCTCTGAGCAACTATTGTATGGCTGCTCAGTTGGAGCCTTATCAGAGAAGCAGGCTTGCGAACAAAGCCGTAAATATTGCCATCCAAGTGGGCGTGGCATTCGAAATCCAAAGCGCTCCTGTCAGAATATCACCATAGCATACCAGCCTTCTGGCCTGACTTGGCATAAAACATCAGAACGAATGTGACAAGGGGGCTTTATGAGATAGGACTGGTGTGCTTGTTGGGATCCTGAAACAATTCCACCTTGGCAAATATTCCAAAGTGGGGTTTTTTTTTAAAAAAAAAAAAAAATTAAATGACAAAAATAAGACAAGCTGTCAGACAGGCTTTTGATAATTATTCTTTTTAACTATGGTAAGCCATTGCATTTGCCCAACAAATATTAAATTCAGTTTATATGAGATTAAACACTGTCCCATGTCAGTACATTGTGTTTTCTCTGTACTTTTGCTATGTATGAAAAAAACAAACACTTAGGGTAAGGATTTTTAAGGCAACAAGAGAAGAAATGGTTGTGTTTGTCCATCTCTTGTCTATCTATGCAGGCTTTATATATCTACAGATGTTGTAGATAAGCATACAAACAGGAAGAACACCACAGAGTTCTATTTAAAATTATTGCCATCTTTAAAAACTGTGGGAAGATGTAGGGCACAAGGCGATTTTGGCCTCTAATGTTAATAACAACTCCAAGCAACGTTGGTGTTTTTACTTTCATAGTTAATAGAGATTAAAGGATTTATAGTTCAACAACATGGGGAGTGGCACAGATTTCCCAGGCCTTTCTTGGATACTTTTTTCTCCCTGGGTCAAAAATATTTTAATTCCCTTTCTGCGAATGCGGCAGTCACATTGTTAATTTGAAATGATGAAAAATGAGCAAAAGCAGTGGGGCATTATAAAAATATATAGGAAATTGCTTTATGTCATATATAGTCTCTTTGATGAAAGCCAATATTTCCACTGCAATGATTGGATGCTCTCCAGGTGGAAAGATCTTTCTTATCATCTGATAGTGGTTAGAGCACAAAGATATAAATTTTGCAACAAATACAACTTAAACTATTATTATATCCTCTGTGAAATGCTTAGCAGAGCTTTCTCAGTTAATGGGCTAGATGGAAACAAACTCAACTTACCACAAATGTCTACGGCAGGAGATTTACAAAGCATTTTAAAGATAAAATGGTTCACATCTACTCCAAGTAGATGTCCTAAGTATTAAAAATGCTATTGTCTTTGTGAGAAACAGGATCTGGTAAGAGTTCGTGGGATAAATTGCTTCTTTTGTGGACTTCTACAAGTTCTGCTTTTTATCTTCTCCTCTGGAATATCCACATGGAATCACTGATTATCTATTTCTACATCTCACTGAATCAGGGAAAGCTGGATAAATGTTTAACTATTGACTGGAGACAGTGATGGGCTACATAATCTAGAAAGAAGGAAGGAAAACAAGCCAGGTAGTCTTCTTTAAAGTTGGGTAGGCAGCACAGTCTTTAATTATTCCATTTTTTATTTATTTATATTTGATGAACTCCACTTCCTGTTTTCCTATGTTACTCAGGATTCCTACTCTGCCTAAAAGTTCTAAATATTCTGGTATATCAGAGTCTAAATTGGCCCCAGAGACAAACCCCTGACCCTCCCAATGTTGTTGAAATTTGGTTCCTAGCAACCCCCATGTCATAGGCAGGGCTTTTTTTGTCATAGAAAGCCCTGAAGGAGTTCCGGAACCTTTTTTGGATGGAACCTTGTAGGGTAGGCAAGGCGGGTTGTATGATATGTGTGAGTTCCGGCATCTTTTTTTTTTTTTTTTTTTTTACAAAAAAAGCACTGGTCATAGGCAATAGGGAAGAATGGGGCTAGTTCTAGCATGGCAATATCTGGAGGACAACAGATGTCCTAATCCTGGCCTCAGTCAGCCTTGTACTTAATAACTCAGACTGCTACTATGGGTGACAAAGAATAGCATGGAAAGAGTTAGGCAAATCTTTATTTTGTTGAAAAAAGCTGAAAAAACCAGCTCAATTTTCCACAAATTAACACTTCAGAGTCCACAGAATAGGGGGAACTGCAGTTCCATATATTTCAGCCTTTTCTCAAAACCATAATGGAAACCCAGTCTGGGACACATACAATACAGCTATTTCATACTGTTCTGTAAGACAAAGCTATACAAAATAGCTGCCATTCATGGAATCTACCCAAGTTTTGTGACAACGGAAGAACTACTCTTGCATAACTTTCAAAATGGAAGAAGGTTTCTGGTTTTCTCGGGAGGTTCTAGTCTCCATTTCTTTTCTTAAGGAATGTTAAGGGGCTGCAATGTTTTATCCTAATATTTATAATTTTCTACAGAGATCACGCAGCAGATGACAAGTTCATGTAAGATTCATGCTGAAGAAAAAAAAAGGCTAACATTAATACAGGAGAGTATTTGTAGCTCAGGGCTGACATGAGGGATCCTGGGTGGTCTCTGAGCTTGCTTGTTTTCTTGCAGACATTTCATTATCCAAACTAGGTAACATCATAACTGGTGTTATCTCATTTGGGTAATGAAACGTCTGCAAGAAAACAAGCAAGCTCAGAGAGTATCAAGGACTCCTCAAGGCTAACATTAAATATTACATAACAGCTTCAAAACAATGTTCATATTTATATTATCAAATGAGACAGCAGATTCTATTCACACACACACACACCCCCGACACACACAACCTGTGTAATAAGTATTGTATCCAGACATGCATATTATACGACAAGTCTCTGACAGATTGCATCAGAGCATAGCCCAGGCAATGTTTCTGGTTTTTTTAGCATTAAATATACAGTTGACACAGGTCCCATTATTATCAGTGATGTTTGAACTGCTTCAGTGAAGTTAATGACCTATTTTATCTGCAGTTTAGGTTCTAGTTTCTCTCTCTTGCCTTATAACATGATGGAGCTCCTTTGCTGCAGAGAAAGATGCCAAAGGAGAAATCAAGAGTATTATTTTTTTTCAACATTCTTTCTAAAACTCTACAGAAATGGATATATCTGTGAAATTATTGTACATATGAAAATTAGCCACATGACCCCCACAATACAAATATAGGTTGGTTCCGTATATATGTTTTTGTGTGAAATGAAGGCCTGCATAATATAAGGATTCTGAGGGAGAATCAAGCATGGCTCTTCTGTCCTGTTCAGGCTGAATCAGTCAATCAGCAATTTTAGGCCTGTGGTTCTAGCAAGCAAAGTCAGAATCATACCTACAGCCCTAGTTCAAGCGACATATCCAACATTCATGAAACACAGGAATGTTCATCATCATTAAAGGTTGTGGTTTCTAACAAAAATAGGAAAAGCTAGAGGATATGAAGAACTAGCTACCGATTGGTTTCAAGCAAAGAGCACGGCCTACAAAATTAGACTGAGAAAGTTATTCTGGGTATGTTCAGGTGTGGCCTTAAATACCAGGAAGTGTTCAGTCACCAGCTGGCAGTTTAACTGCATCAGGCTGCTCCCAAGGGTCCCTGCTTGTGTCATGTCCTTCTGTGCAGCTGAGCACTCCTCTATCTCCCCACTTTCGGTCTTTTCACGCAGAGTTGGCAGTGTTCCCATGGGCTGGGCAGATGAGCCTCCAGTTTAAGATTTGATTCACAAGGGCCAGGAGTAGGAGATTCTGTTGTTATGGCTGGGACTCTCTATTCATGACAGTCTCATTGCCTCATCATCTTGTTCCTCCTGAGGATGATTTTTCCAACCAGGTCATGTGAACCCAGCTCTCCCAATGTTGATATATTGAATTTCCTAACGAGTCTCTTGTTAGGAAAGGTCAGGCCATTCACACATTCATCCTCATTCTCATTTCCCACTAACAGCAGCATGATGACATCCTGTGAAATGTTTTCAGAGGACAAGTCCTCATGACACAGCCTTCATCTCATCTCCAGGCCCCTGTGAAGGCAATTTACATTCCGTTTTTCCCTATTTCATCTTTAAAGCAGCATTCTTCTTCTCCCAAGAAGAATTTTTTTCCTCAGATAAACATTCTATGAGATTCCATTTATGTAAAGAAATGATTAAAGTAGAAAAACACGTTTGCATTCTTCGTTTCAAGCTGAGCTCCTTAATAACAAAACATACAGTTAAGCCCTTAAAACAGATTTCTTCACAAAATCACAATCGCTTTTAAAGCTTTCTCAAATGCCCCCCAAAACCATGAATGTTCTATGCCCCACTTTACCAGGATGTACCCAAGATGTGGTTCAGAGTTAGGGTATAACTGGCTTCAGGGTCTTAATATTCATTGACTGTTAGAGAGCTTCTACAAGAATCAATGTCCCTCTGTTGCCCTAGAAATAATGCTTAGTACTGATCCCCTCGTGTAAATTATCCTTAATTCAACCTTTATTTTCTTAACCTTTATTTTACATCACTTCACACTATTGATCTTGCAAGTGTTTGGGTTTGATTAGAAAAACAAAGCTAACTGCTGAGCAAACTTTGCCCTTTCTTGCATTTCTGCAAAATCTAACATGTCAGCTTGGCATCACACAGAGAAATGATATTTATTATGGGAAGTTAAAATCAAGTTTCCGATTGTATCTATAATATTAGCCGCTTAGTTATGAACCCATCCCTTCCCCCAGTATGTTGTAGGATTTTCTAAGGGTCC